GCTTGTAGCCGGGTTTTAGAGCTGGAAATAGGTTCATTTTTAGCTTTTTGTGTCTGTTAACTGATGGTTCCCGGCTGGGAGAGACTGCAGTGATTGAGGTATTTTAGCGTGGAAGTGATGTTGTTCGTAATGATACCGTGAAGGCAGGTTGTGTTAACGTGTGTATGTTTTGGCAGAAAGATGAGCGCAAGAAGAGGTGGGAAACCAAACAGAGGAGGGTCTAGATCTAGCAAACCAAAGGGAGGAGGAGCAGGCTACTTGGATTTCGATGATGATTTCAGCCTTTCTTTTGGACCTCCCCGTTCCAGCAGGTATAAAGGCATCAGGAGACAAAGAGAAGTGCACATTTTTTTTCATGTTTGTTTATTCTGCCTCTTAATTTTACTTTACAGAGCTGGTAAAGGACGAGGGAGAGATGGTGGAGGAGGTAAAGGACGTAACGATCGAGACAGAGATGATAGAAGGCGAGCCGAAAGTCACAGAATGCCTCTGCCAAGGTCCCTGGCAAACACCAGACTTCCCACTAAGTCTGCCGACTGCATCAGGTCAGAGACGAGCAGCATGCCCATGCAGAAGATCTTCATGACCAATGAGAACCAGGAACAGCTCAAGGAGTTACTGCGGGAACTACAGACGCAAGATTTTGACGAGCCCTCTGAGTGAGTGCATTTATCTACATGTTATTTATTTTTAAAAAGTTACTGGACATATATTTATGCCTGTTTTCCCCAGGGAATCTGGCTTAGATGATTCAGAGGAAGAGGAGGAATTTGATGAACTAGATCACCGTGAGGAAGGCCAGTTTTGGGCTACTAATGACGAGCCTGTGGAGAGAGCAGAAAGCCCCGCTTACTGCAAGGACTCTGAAGACGAGCGTCCCACTCCTGAACCTGTTATCTCCTTATTTGCCATTGGAAAACTCTGCAGGTGATCATAACATCTAAAAGTCTTTACTTTAACACAACTAACTCCTAGTCCAAAAACGTTTAGACATTCTGCAACGAGTTCAGTTTTCTACGTTGCTTCAGTCCAGTTTTAATGAGCTTTGATCCAGAGAAGATGGGAGAGTTTCTGGATGGTTCTCACATTTAGCTGCTTCTTTGCGTGATAGAGCTTTAACCAGCTTTTGTAGATGGCACAGTAAACTGTGTTTACAGACAGATTTGTGGAAGTGTTTTTGAGCCCATTCAATGACATGCCGAACAGACTCAGACCTGTTTTTAATGAAGTGGCCCCTGAGGGCCGGACAGTCATCGTTATCCAATATGGACTTTCAGTTTAGTCCTTTGACCTGAAAGATTTCTCCAGACTCTTGAAATCTTTTATATGTATGTTGATGATGTAGATATGTAGATGAGGAGACATCCCATTTTCCATTGAAGAACGTTATTCTGAAATTGTTCCACAATTTTTCATTTTTATGACAACCTAGTTCCATTTTGACTTCTAAAAGATTTATCCTTTTTAAAATTATATTTTTATACCCGATCTTCTTACTGACATTTTGCAATTAACCTAATTTATTGTAAAATGCTCCTTAAGTTGTTAATTATTTGTAACTTACTTTTACAGCCTTTTGTTGCCTCTGTCCTACATTTTTTTGGGATGTGTTGATGCCTTCAAATTCAAAATGACCTTATTTTAACCTCACAATTGCACTGTTTTAGTTTCATTATTCTAGATATTTACTGTGTTCCACTGTGAATTAGTTATGGGTTTATGAGCATTGCTTTCTGTTCTTATTTAGATTTTAAACAACTTTTGGGAGTTGAGTTACGTGATCCTACGTTCAGCGTATTTCTAATGTCCTAATACTTGTTTTTTGTGTGTGTTTTTTCTGTAAAGATATGGGTTTGACAGGGAGCGTAGCAAAAAGGCACTGGAGTTTGGAGGAGGCGATTTTGGGGCAACCTTGGAACAGCTCCTCCTTCAGGTTTACAGCGAACGCTACGGACAGAAAGCAGTGTGCCCCGATGACCTCCAGCGGGTTCCAGTGGACGAGTGTTTAAGCCAGAGGCAGGAGGAAGCTCTTGCCCTCGCTGCTATTTATGGAGACCGCTTTAAGGAGTGCATAGCCAACACGGTTTGGACTGTATCCCTGGATCTTCCGTTCCTTTCTGAAAAGGCTCCGCAGAAGGTAGGAAAAGCTCGAAACGGAGGGGAAGCTGCGCCTGTTCGGGGAGTCTGCAGATTCTTCCTGAAAGATCAAGGCTGCCGCTTAAAAGACAAATGCAGGTTCAGACATGAACTCCCAGGAAAAGAGAGGTCGGGGGCTGGTTCCTCGGACCTGAAAGGCCCGAGCCATCCGGGCATCAGCAGCTATTCTCCTCCCGAGTACCAGCTGGAGGTTCGCTTCCCCAAAGGAAACCGTTACCCCCATCAGGCACCGATTGTCGCCTTCAGCACCAACGATGAGTCAGTCGGAGCTGCAGGGAGACTCAGCGTCACCGAGAAGTTATTCGAAGAGGCTCTGGCTGCGGCGAAATGCAGCGAGCCCGTTGTTTACACTCTGATAACCTTATGTGAGGATGAACTCAGCATGAAGGAGCTGCTGGCTGTCGGTCACCACAAGTACAGCTCGCCACCACCTGTAGTGGGACTTCCGCAGCCTTTACCCGCTGTGGCGAAGAGTAAGAGCGTGGAAGGCCGGAGTAATTACACAAACAGCAGGAGGGCTGCTCCGCCCACCACCCGCACACCTGCAGATCGTGAGTCGTCCACACTGAAGCTTTTCTGATGTCTGTTTTTACATCCGGTTCAGAGCTGTGTTCACGTTTGTCCTTTTAAGTGGAGGAGGCCGAGGAGCGGGACGAGGACGTCAGACCCGTCCCAGTTAAGTGCGAAAGTTACGTCCATCTGAAGAAGATGGCGAACAAGCACAATCAGAAACTGGACGTTTTGCAGGAGAACAAAAAGCTGTGCAGAGAATTCAAGAAGAAACAGGTAAAATGAACACAATACTTGTTTTTGTTTTATCACATCCTCGCCAACGTCATGCTTTGTTGCATCGCCACTTTTTTTTTTCTTTTACAACCCAGTCTTCCAGACGCTTCAGGTCCATGCTGGAGCAGAGGAAGAACCTCCCGGCTTGGCAGGAAAAAGAGAACATTCTGGACGCGTTGGAGCGGTGCCAGGTGCTGGTGATCAGTGGGATGACTGGGTAGGTGCAGGACTCTGAGCTGGACATACCCTGCTTCAATTTACAACTACTAAAATCTAAACTTTAACTTTATTTAAAATAACATCCCCATAGAAGTTAAATTAGATTTCTTTAATTCTTTCTTCAGCTTTGTCTTTTTTTAATCTCTCTGCATCCTAGTTCTTTTTCGTACAACCTTTAGCTTTCGGCTGATGTTCTGCAACTTACAGAATTAAGCTACCGTTTTGATTCTTTTAGATTTTAGCTACACTTTTGATCATGTTAGCTATATCATCTGTTTTGCTAACTGTGAAGCTTTAAGCTCATGAAGCATTCACACTACTGCGATCCACTTTTCTTCCGTACGTTTTTCAGCATCTTTCTTGTTCCACAACGTTTGTACTATTTCAACCAATCATATCAAAACGTTCAGCTCTTTCAGGACAATCCTGCTATGACTTTTGGTATTGGTGCAACTTTAGCTTTTTGAAATATTTAGCCTTTTCTGTCTTTTTTTTTTTCTCATAGGAAATTAATTGAGCTCAGTTTACATCCTTGAAATCTTTAGATGTGTTTACAATCTTTTACTGCTCCTTTCACATTTTGTTCTGGTTCAGCTCTCAGCTTCCTTGTGCAAATGTAAAAATTTTTTCATCTACTTTCAGCTGTTTTTTTAGTTGTTTTGTGCTCCTTTCAGTCTTTCTGTTAATTCAAACTTTTTGTGCTTTTAACTTCTTTCTGCTAATTTCAGCTTGTTATGCTTCTTTCAGCTTCTTTCTCAAAGTTTTAGCATTTTCTGCTGTTTCAGCTATTAGCTGTGTTATGCTAATTTTAGGCTTTACAGCTAATTCCACATTTTTTGCACTTATTTCAACTTTTTCAGCCTAATTCAGCATAAAAATTCATTTTGGTAATTTAAACTTCTTTCTGATTTTTTTTGGCTACCTTTCAGCTGTTTAGGTTTTTGCTAATTTCACCTTTTTCCTGATAATTCCCACTTTTTTGCGCTCATTTCTGATTCTTGCAGCATAATATGACAACATTGGGCTCTCTCCACTCCCTACTGTTAATTTAAGCTTGTTCTATCTTTTCAGCTAACTTCTTAGCATTTCTTAGCTAATTTCAGCTGTTTTCAGATAAATTCATGTTTTTTTTTTTTTGTGGTAATTTCTGGGACTTCAGCCTAAACTTCTTTCTTCTCATTTCAGTTTGTTATGCTCCTTTCAGCTTATTTCTGCTTGTTTCAACTTTTTCTGCTGTTTCAGCTTAGTTAGCTGTTTTGTTGCTAACTTTAGCTTTTCAGCTAATTCCACATTGTTTGAGCTCATTTCAGCTCATTCCACTTTCTTCTGGTAGTTTAAGCTTGCTCTGCCTTTTCAACTACTTTTCAGCTATTTTAAGCTAACTTCAACTTTTTAGCTAATTTCCCAATTTTTGTGCTTATTTTTTTCCTAATTCAGCAAGTATGTATTCGTTCTGCTTTCGTCTGCTAACTTGGGGTTGTTCTTCCTTTTCAGCTACAATTCATCATGTTTTTAGCTAATTTAAGCAGTTTTTCCACCAATAAGCATTCACATTGCATTTCCTGCGAAAATGCAGTTTCTCTAGTTTTAGTTACTGTTTTGCTGATCTTTTGCTGTTACTTGTTTTGGCTAATGTTAGTTGTAGCTTTTACTTCATCTTTTAAGCTCTTTGTTTATCATCAAGAGTTCAACTTTCGGACTGAAATGTGCGTTTTTGTAGGTGCGGTAAGACGACTCAGATTCCTCAGTTCATTCTGGACGCCTCGCTGAGCGGCTCTGCGGAGCAGGTGGCCAACATCCTGTGCACTCAGCCTCGCCGCATTTCTGCCATATCCGTGGCTCAGAGGGTTGCACAGGAGCGTGCCGAGAGCCTGGGCAACTCCGTGGGCTACCAGATCCGTCTGGAGAGCGTCTGGGTACGGATATATTCCACACAGGGCTGTCTGGTGTTTTATTGTTTGTCATTATCATTAATGTGTGTAAATGTTTTGAAAAACAACGTGCACGTTTAATGTTGGTATTTTCTGAATAAATGTAGCCAAGATCTGTTTCAGAAGTTCTGCTCTTTGCTCCGTTAGTCGTCAGCCACCAGGCTGCTGTACTGCACCACCGGCGTGCTGCTCAGGAGACTGGAGGGCGAGCCCGACCTCAGAGGCGTCACGCACGTCATCGTGGACGAGGTGCACGAGCGAACGGAGGAGAGGTTTGCACGTTCCTGCCGTCATGCATTCTGAGTTGTAATTTCGTTCGCTTTGACCCCGTTGTCTCTGATAACTTCCAGTGACTTCCTGCTGTTGGTGCTGAAGGACTTGATCATCCAAAGACCAGACTTGAAGATCATTTTGATGAGTGCCACTCTTAATGCCAACCTCTTCTCTGAGTACTTCTACTCCTGTCCGTCTATCCACATACCAGGTCATCCCTCTAACGTGCGTCAGTCCTGCTAAATACAGAAATCTGACACTTCATTTCAAACATCTTTTTACTTTTCCAGGACGGACCTTTCCTGTTGACCAGTTTTTTCTTGAGGATGCCATCGCTAAAACCGGGTAAGAAAATCCATCTTTAACGAGAGAAGCTGCATTTTCTGCTCAAGTCGGCGTGAACGCTGAACGACTGAAGAAGCTGGAACCGAGTTGTTAGAGTCAAAACGAGCAGAATTTTTTTTTTTTTCTAAAAGATAAACATGCAAAACCAGAGCTAAATACCAGAATTTGTACATTTGTGGCAAAAAGCTGAAATAAGCAAAACCAGAGTTAAGTTTTATAGTAGCAAACGGTGGCTAAAAGTAGCTATAATGTCATAACTCACTATTCCTGATGCTTATACATCAGGAATAGTGAGTTTCCTGATGGTTAAAATAGCACAAAGTATGGTATGTTCAAATTCAAGAATCTTTATTATCCCGAAGGGGCAATTTGTTTCACAGTCAGTAGGCACATGTACTAGACAAGACATTAAAATAACAACATGGAAATCATCGCTGTTTGTTGAGAAGCCTGATCGCTACAGGGATGAATGAGTTTTTCAGTCTGTTCGTTCCACATCTGGGCAGCAGATACCTGCGTCCAGAAGGAACCTGAACTCACCATGGAGTGGATGATAGGATAGAATTCAACTTTGTTGTCATTGCACATGTCACAGGTACAAAGCAACGAAATGCAGTTTGCATCTATCCAGAAGTGCTTAGCAAGAAAAATAAATTGGTAGATATATATAGTACAATATACAGTAAGTTGCTTTGAATATGCTATAGGTATAAATATATACAGGTTGTGAGTGTACAGACTATGAACAGGTTATAATATGAAGGGGTATAAACAACTATATAAAAGAAAAAAAAAATATATATATATATAAGTATGTGAGTACTTATGAACAGTAGATAGTAGATTATGTGTACAGTTTGTACAGTAGTGGGCTAACGGATGAAAGTGCAGGTGGTGGTGTTACAGTCCATGTGTTGTTGTGTGTATGAGAGTACAGACCATTGTTGTTGTTGTTGTTCAGATGTCAGGAGGCAGAGTTCAGGAGTGTGACAGCTGTAGGGAAGAAGCTGTTCCGGTACCTGGTGGTTTTAGTCCGGAGGCTCCTGTAGCACCTCCCAGAGGGCAGGAGGGTGAAGAGTCTGTGTGCGCAGGATGATCAGGATCTGCCAGAATCAGCCGGTCTTGTTCACTGACCTCACCTTTTGTAGGTCAGTGAGGTTCTGCAGGGCTATGTCAGCAGTTTTGCTGCACATCTGGACAATCCCTGAGAGTTTGTTCATGGTTTTTTTGCAACAGACGAAGGTAAACGTTACGAGACTCGAGAAAACATGAATAAAACTTTCTCGTAAAAGTAGAATCAACATTAAAACCACAGAGCTTCCGATAAAAATACATTCTCTGTTGGGCCTTCTTACAAAGTGAGTTCACGTGGGGGGTGGGGGTCAAAGGTCAGTTTGTCATCAAGAACAGTTCCCAGCTATTTATACTGATGCACCACCGCAACAGCTTCACCGTTAATGACCACAGGAGCTGCAACTGAAGAGTTTTCTGAAATCATTGACCATCTCCTTGGTCTTAGACACATTTAACTTTAAAAAGGACTCGCACCGTTCAGTGACGTCCCCGACCACAGGCGCGGGGTCTGGATCATCGCTGCTGAGAAGGGACAGGATGACGGAGCCATCAGCAAACTTTAAAATGTGGCGCTGTGGGAAATGGCTGCGACAACCGTTTGTATATAAAATGAACAAAAGGGGTGAAAGAACGCAGCCCTGAGGAGAACCGGTAGAGGAGAGGAGGACATCAGAGAGAACCCCTTTGATCCTCACTCGCTGGAGCTGAACAGTTAAAAAGTCCACAAACCTACGAGGTCTCTCTTGTAAAAGAGTCCTCGTGGCTCATTGAGACTAACCTATATAAATAAAGGTTGACTGAATGAAAAATAAAAAACAATCTTACAAATGTTTTTGTACCTTCAATGTGGAAGTGCCGGTAGTTTGATTGCAACAAAAGTAGCTAAACAGGAAGGTGATGGTGTGAATGCTGACTCAGCGTTCACACCGATAAACCGAACTCGTGAGTTTTAATCAACAACGTTTCAACATAAACTCTTTGTTGCAGCTACGTCATCGAGGACGGCAGCCCCTACAGGCGCTCGGGGAAACTAAATGCGTCTTCTTCGAACGGACAAGGAGGCAAAGGAGGGTCCAGGAACATGGTGGACGACTTGGGCGACGACGTTTGGAACTTCATGTCTTTCTGTAAGAAGGACTTGGTTAAAGACTCGATCCCAGACCAGCAGCTCAGCCTGCAGGACCTCACGGTCCGATACAAAAGTGAGTTTAGGAGCGTCTGAAACTTTACAGAACTGTTCGAATGTGCCTTTAACTCGTGTTCTGCTTTGCTCATGAAGACACCAAGAAGTCTGTTCTTCTGACCATGGCTGCCATGGACCTGGACAAAATCAACATGGACCTGGTGGAGAGCCTGCTGGAGTGGATCGTAGAGGGAAAGCACGACTATCCACCAGGTAAGAAAAAAGTGAAACAAGCTGAGGATTGTCAGGTTTGTTTATGTCCCTGCTGTGCGTGCAGGAGCTGTGCTGGTGTTCATGCCAGGCCTCGCTGAGATTAAAATGCTTTACGAGCAGCTGCAGTCCAACAGGATGTTCAACAACAGAGGAGCGTCCAGGTCCGTGTGCGTCACAGCGAGTCCTCAGAGCTTTACACGAGCTGAACCCAGACTGAATGTGTCCCAGCAGGTGTGTGGTGTACCCCCTCCACTCCACCCTGTCCAACGAGGAGCAGCAGGCAGTTTTCAGCCGTCCTCCTGAGGGCGTCACCAAGATCATCATCTCCACCAACATCGCCGAGACCTCGGTGACCATCGACGACGTGGTGTATGTCATCGACTCTGGCAAGATGAAGGAAAAGAGGTGATCTCACTTTGCTCCTGTTCATCAGCTGATCTGAGTCGACACTTCCATGTTTGACCTGCTTGTTGTGTTTCCTCAGGTATGATGCGTCGAAGAGCATGGAGAGCCTGGAGGACACGTGGGTTTCTCGGGCCAACGCGCTGCAGAGGAAGGGGCGAGCCGGACGCGTGGCTTCAGGGCTCTGCTTCCACCTCTTCACCAGCCACTGCTTCCGACACCAGCTGTCCGAGCAGCAGCTGCCAGAGATCCAGAGGGTGCCTCTGGAGCAGCTCTGCCTCCGGTAGGTCCATGTGCGCCGCACGGAGCAGTTCTGTCCCCGTCAATCCACATAAAGTGGAAATGCTGAGTCAGCATTCACACTGTTGTTTTCCTGTTTCGTTTCTTCTGAATGATTTTTGCAATCGAACCACCGTTTACAACCTTTTACTGCTCCTTTCACATTTTGTTCTGCTTCAGCTTCTTGCAGCTTCCTTGTGCAAGTTTAAACATTTTTTTCAGCTACTTTCAGCTGGTTTTTTTAGCTGTTTTGTGCTCCTTTCAGAGTTTTTCTGCAAACTACAACATTTTGTGCTTCTTCTAACTTATTTCTGCTAATTTCAGCTTGTTATGCCCCTTTCAGCTTATTTC